ATTTTCTGGAAGCAGATTAGGCAAAGGAAGGTATCATGATGCTAAGAAAGGGCTCCATCATCTAAAGATAGCATCTATTCAGCTCTGCTATCATTGTGTTCCTCAGATTCAGGTGGTGATCATGAGGTTCCATATGCAGAGATTAGCTCAGCTATGGGTTAGGGGTTTATCTCAGGATATCTCAGTTCTCCAAAAAAGGTTGAGGTGGTGGTAGGTCATGATAGAGAGCACAGATGTCACAGAGCCAATGTGCAGTTAAGACGGACTGGGGAGGCCAGGGTTCAAATCTCCTGCATGCAACTCATCATACATAAGCTCCACTTGCTGCTGATTCGCTTTCAGGTTGAAATCCAAGTGCTTGACTTAATCTTCAATCCTTTCATGGTCTGGGATCTCCATACACAAAGGATATCTCCTTTCTTCAAGTAAAGATAAAGAGGTTGAGATCTAGAGCCTTTCAGTAGCACCTACCCCCTTCTAGAATCAGCTTCCACAGGAAATGAGAAAAGCGGAGTGACTTCTCAATTTTTGCAAAGGATTTTGTTTCAGCTTATTCAAATCTTGCTTATATTGAGTTTCTCTTTCCTTTGTTGTATTATATTTGTTGCATTTATTTTTGCTGTTTGACTATTTTAAATCATTCTTGTACACACTAAAGGAACTTTAATATCTATTTAAAATAAATATACAAACAGGACATGATGTAATGTATGCACGGCAAAATAAAAACCCATAGCATTTTGCAAATGGTAGCATGCATAGTTTTTTCTACTGGGAAATTTTCTTCATGTAGTAAAATACCATGTGTGAAGCAGCTCTTAGGTTCTGCGGTGCAAATGCCACATCACAGGAATTACCTTATTAGTCTGCTTCTTTCCATTTCCCTGTATAAAATCTGTTATGACCTTTGTTTACATGAATCTGTTTAGTAAGTTATGACTCAGGAAGTAATTGTTAATTTCTTTTTTGTATTTGTTGCTGCTTCTGCTGTTTTGTGTTTTGTTTTTGGGGGATAAGTTATTGTCCTATTTTTGTATTGTTTTTCAGTTTTAAAACTAAGATAAATAATATGTGTTAAAGTTGAGGGGGGTGCTTCTAACTTGATCCCCCCACCCCCGGTTGTTTGCTGAACCAATAGAAACTGACAAGTGTATACTAAAAAGGAAGTTTAGGCAAGCAGGGATTTCTCCACCTGGAGGCATACTGTCAGCCACTATTGATGTTAGAAGAAAATGTCAGAATCACAGTGAACAATTACAGGATGCCTGATTGACTGCTTCCTTTACTTCTTGTGCTTTCAACCAGAAGCCAAGATGTCACTCAATGTCAAGTAGATTGACCTTAAACTTCCCCCTCCCTCGGTTTGTCTCTTTCTTCATACCTAATGTAAACACCATTCTGAATTTTCATGATTCTTCATCCACGTAACTGGATTCACCATGGGTTCAGTCTTTATTTCAAGTACGAATATCTCTTTAATATTTATACTATATAACTAAAAATTATCTGTGTGTTTGAAGCTGGTTGTCATCAGAATGCTATTTTCCTAAGTCTCCAGAAACAGCTGTAATGGTCCTAAGCCAGTGTCTTGAGGCTTTCGTCAAGTGACTGAAGCTGAACAAGCTGAAACTGAATCCAGAGAAGACAGAGGTGATGGTGGTATGACAGCTGGAAACTTTGGCTGGGATTGATCTGCCAACGTTAGAGCTTTCTTTAATGGATTGTGAGAGGTTGTGGTACTCAATCCAGAATTACTAATAGAGAAACAAATTGGTACTGTTGCCAAGAGTGTTTTCTTTCAGTTACAGCTATCTTTTTAAAAATTATTTTATTATTTTCTAAAGAGACAAACAATAAACATCCAAACTACAACTTGATGTTTTAACAGAGTGAACACACTAAGCATCAATGTTACTTTAACTCGAAAGAAAACAGTACATAAAAGTTGAGATCTATGCACAATTTCCAAAAAAAAAGAAAGAAAGCAAATTCTTATAGTATCTATTCTGAGGAATGACCTTGTGTTTCTTCAGATATTCTGCCACAGGAAACCACACAACTATAATTTCTTCTGGTTGCTTTTCTGCCTGCAACATATAAATGCCACTCGAGATCTTACCTAACACAAAATGATCCCACAATTTAGACTGCCTTATTGTCCTTCCATCTGTATGCTATCAATATCCTTGCCACAGCTAGTAAATTGGAAATCAATATATTTTTCGCTTTTAAAATGGATGTATCTGCCCAGCTATTCAGAAGAACTGTCTGCGGAAGTAAAGGTAAGTCATATCCTGCATTTTTTTGTATTTCCTCTATTATTTGGGCCCAGAAGGGAGTAAATTTGGGGACATTCTCACCTGCAGTGTAAAAAGTCATCCACTTGTCCACATTCCTTCCAGCACTTACAGTCCAGGTTTGGATTTATTCTATGCAATTTTGCCATGGAAAAATATCATCTGTGATCTAGCTAACATTTTAAAAGTTTGAAATCTAATATTAAAAATCCTTGAGGTATTAGCAAATGATCTCTAGATATTTTCCTACATTTATTCTGTAATTTTAGTTTGACAGTCCATTTGCCAGCTAATTTGGTATTTCAACTGTGTTTGGGAATCTGTTTCAATTAATAATTTATAAATTCTAGATATTAACCCCATAATTTGACCAGTGTAATTTTTCAGTTTCAATTTGAATTCCATTCTTGAAAAAGTCTTGAAAAAGTAGTCTTAAAGGGCGGGGAGCAGGGGTCCTTTCGTAGAAAAAGAGGTGGAGGAGCTCATTAGCATAACCAATTAGCATAACTTATTTGCATATGCCACACCCCCTGACATCACCGGAAGTGTGTCAGAAGGCAACACCCACCGGCTCAGGCTCCACTGGGCTGCTAGCTATTGGGGGGGGGACGTGCAGATCTGTCCTTGCAGAGGAGGGAGAGCTTGTCCCTGAATAAAACTTGGTCTTAAAGGTGCCACTGGACTGTTTTGGACTGGGGGGGGGGGCTTTGCACCCCCTGGGCTCTTTACTGCCGGAGCTCCGCTCCTGTGCGCTCCTGCAGGAAATGACCCCTGGCGGGGAGGCTAGTAAATGATGGATTTGTAAGTATCTAAACCAAGGAATTGAACTGGCTAATTTCTCTTCTAATCGCTGTTTATTCAAAAGGTGGCCCTTATCGACCAAATCATTTAAATGTAAACCCAGTTACAGCTTTCTCACAATCTGGCTCCTTATTTGGATTCCACCCATCTAGCCATGTTGATCATGCCACTGTAAGCTCCAGACTGAACTACTGTAACACCTGCTACATGGGGTTACCTTTGAAGAAGACTTGGAAGCTGCAATTGGTATAAAATGCAGTCGCAAGGCTCTTATCTGGGACTAGAGCTTAAACCATACAACCCCAGTGTTACCTTTTACCTATTTGAAGAAGAAGAAGAAGAGATTAGATTTATACCCCACCCTTCACTACCTGAAGGAGTCTCAGAGCAGCTTACAATCCCTTTCCCTTCCCCTCCCCACAACAGACACCCTGAGAGAGCTCTTTTGAGAACTGCCGAGAGAAGAGCTCAGAAAGAACTTGGGTCTGACCCAAGATCACACTACCAGTTGCATGTGGAGGAGTGGGGAATCAAACCCCATTCTCCCAGATTCAAGTCTGCACTTTTAACCACTACACCAAACTGGCTTCCAGGACCAAGTGCTGGTTATTTTCTTTAAAAAATTTCATGGCCTGTGTCCCTTATACCAGGGGTGGCCAAACTGCAGCTCGGGAGCCATATGCAGCTCTTTCACACATATTGCATGGCTCCTGGCAGGGCAGCTGGGGAAGCAAAGGGGAGCCATACTTTCCCTCCTTACCACCTATTTTTTTCTTATTTCTCTCTCAGTCTTTCCACCTCTTTCCTTCTTTCCTTCTTCCTTTTCACCTCTCTCTCTCTCTCTCTCTCTCTCTCTCTCTCTCTCTCTCTCT